TAAAAGGTGGTGACACAGCAGCACTATGTAGTGACAGACAGATAGTAGATTACAAAGCTTTTACTACTGCTGACAAATAAAGTGGGTTGTTGATTGCTCTGAAACCAACATAAGCTATGCAGCAGATGTAGTTTTACAGTCTTGATCTAGGCATTCATCGAATTGGGGTTTTATTTTACAGAAATAGATGAATGCTCGTCAAATCCATGTAAAAACGAAGCGGCGTGCACTCACTCGATCGGTGCATTTGAATGTCAATGTCTCCCAGGTTATAGCGGAACGATATGCGAAATTGGTAAGACGCCTCGTAATAAAAAAATTATTTTTACTGATTGATTAAAAAATATGTTTTAATCAACTATGGAATTACCTAATTTTGTATCTACTGCATACCGTACTTTTTATGTATTCATTACGTATGTGAAACATATTATTTTTAAATTAGTTTCACTATTAGGTTTGATTAATACGTTAATATTTACTTTTTTTGTAGATATAGATGAGTGTGGCTCAAGCCCATGTGAAAACCAAGGAATATGTGCTGATTCAATAAATGCGTTTACGTGCAACTGTCTACCTGGGTTTACGGGTGACTTTTGTGAAATAAGTGTGTATATTTGATTACCTCTCTCATTTTTTGTCACCTCTCTCATTTTTTGTCATTTTCTGAAACGTATCTATTTTTAAAAGTAAATAAATTATTTTGGAATGAATTTAAGAACATAAATAAATCCTTGAATATCTAGTCAATGAATGTTAATACTGTATAACATAGTACAGCATAAATAGGCTTGAATTACTTCCTTTAATATTTGACAATAATTTGTAAATTGTTTTGTTTTTTCTTCAACCTCAATGCGCTTTGCAGATAGTGACGAGTGTGAGTCGGCACCGTGTAAGAACGGAGGTGTTTGCGTTGACAGTGTCAATGGCTTCCATTGTGAATGTGCTAGTGGGTTCACACATTTGTTTTGTGGGACAGGTATGTTACCTGAACGCTTAGACAAACATTTCACTTTTCAAGGTTGCTGATTCGTCCTCCTTTGTGTTCATTAGTGTCTTCAACAAGTTTACAGTGGTTTATAATTAGTCAAATCATAGATATACATCCATGATTAAATTTATCATTACAATCATTGTTCTGCTGTTTATGCAGACGCTTTATAGTAAGCCACTGAGAATTTCGTTGGAATTTCAAATCCGTTTGGATGCAATAGATTCCACACATTATGGGAGTATTTGAAGCGCACACGTGAAACAGTGATCTTTATTGTAAAAAATAACAGAATGTATATTAAAAATTCGTCTTTAAATACAAACAAAAGCAATAATAATTACACAATCAAAATCTTAAATTACAAGAAGAGACCTCCGAATAGACCGGTACTTTAAAAAAATATATATATATATATATGAAGAGGGTTCAACGAGAATGAACAATTTAGAAAGAAAACTGGAAACGATCGATTAGATTTTTAGAACACATTATTATATAATTATTATATATGGATAGTGTTTAGTACTTACATAATATGTCTACTTGATTGTGTGCAGACATCAATGAATGCAGCTCGAATCCATGTCTCAATGGAGCTGAGTGCTATGACCAAGTTGACGGTTACAACTGCACGTGCTTGGAAGGCTACACCGGCAATACATGTGGAATAGGTAGGCCTATGCAACCAAAAAATCGTTTTTAAGTGATCAGATTTTTTTGATTTGATTTGATTTATTCGCATCTCATATAAAAAACAGTACAATCATTAAAACAATACACAATATAAAAGGCATAAAATTCATTTGAAAAAGTTACCAAAAAAAAAACAAGCAAAAGGCCAGTACAAAGTCCAAGAAGATTGATGGAGGAATTGAGGAATTAATACAAAGGAGATGCAAGGATAGCCCAAAAAAGTCCTAAAAAGGTCTTATTTCCATTGGGGTCTTTATGACGAAAAACCAAGAAGGTCGAAGGCAGCATCAAAAGAAATTTCAAGCCAAATTAAAAACGAAAAAGAAAAAACAAAATGAAAAAGTAGAAAGGTTCAAAAAGATTAATAAAAAACCACCGAAGCAGATAACATTATATTATTGCCACAACACAAACAAAATGTTTGCATGGAATTATGCAATCTAAATTGTACACTAAAATATAATAGGCCTAAACATTAATGAAAAATTACACATTATAATTTATTTTTAAATTATGTTTATTTTCACATTTCTTATAGATGTAGACGAATGCCAGTCAAACCCGTGTTCAGCTAATGGAATTTGCAGAGACGAAATTGCTGGTTTTACCTGTCAATGCAACAATGGCTTCACTGGAGAGCTCTGTGAAATAGGTACTAATGTAATGTAAGACTGAAAGTGATATACATAATAGGGAGTTTACGACGTACCATACCTACTTTTCCGACCCAAGTTCTGAGCTGCTTTATTTTGTTTTATTTGTTTGGTGACACTACACCTTTGTATCGGTGTCACTCACAGTCAGTGGTGCGGTTATACAAAATACACAATATCAGTGGCGGATCCGGGGGGGGGTGGGGTTCAAGGGGTTCGGACGAACCCCCCTCTGTGAAGAAACGTAACAAAATACTACTGGGTCCTGGCTTACAAAAGGCATGCTCACCTATAGGTTGGCAAATCGCAAATTAGGCTTAACCCAACTAGCATTCAATTAAAATACAATTAAAAACACTGTTTTTTGGCTCGACGTCGTATTTATGTAAGAAAGTGTGTTCTTCAGGCCTATCGGTTCTCGATCTATAAGAAAGACTACGTATCCAACAACTCAATATTTTTGGAATATAGGCCTAATACGGTAATGTATTGACTATATATTTGATTTTCTTCTATGGTATAGGCATAAGAATGAGATAAAATCACCTGACCTTTTTTTTAAGAGGGGTAAAACCTTGAATTTTGAAGAAATTAAAAGACACCTCAGAAGTAGGGAAAGCTCATTTCCGGCCATCTTGGAATCTTGGAATCAAAAAATGGGTTTCGTAATTGAGGGATAGAAAAGAGAAAATATTTAAGAACTGGGGAAAAGGTGGAAAAGGGGTGGTTATGCGACTTTTTTACCCAGAAGTATTTGAAAATCTGTATCTCTTTAAACCGTTTCCGAGTTCTTCGCCAATCCTTTTGAGGCAATTTTACAACATATCAAAATATTTCTCTCTCCGGAGCCTAGGCTTAAAGGATTTTTGCCGTCTAACCTATATGTGACCTAAATGAACTGTATTCAGTGTGTCTATTACATACAGTAGGCCTATATATTTACAATTTTCCTTCACCGATATATTCACATTGAGGGAAACAATATCTGTTTGTTTCTTTGTGTTGGCAGACCACAACGAGTGTTTGTCTTCCCCGTGTTTGCATGGGCTTTGCAGTGATGAGATCAATAGCTTTAATTGCACTTGTGATATCGGCTTTGAAGGCATTATTTGCGACACAGGTATGCTATCTCTGCTTTATTGCTATAGGCCTATATTATTTTATTGTCGTCATTATTATTACATCGTCATCATCATTATCATAATCATTTACAATACAATTGTTATTATTTTATCTATAATAGGTGGGCAAATATACAACAAAACAATCATAGTTTTTTGGGGGTTTTTTTGACAAGTAGTAGGGTTATTCTCATCCATTCTTTTTTTAATTCATTGTAACACTATGTTTTTATACAAGTCTTAAATTATTAGCTGAAGCAAAATAATGTTGCCATTTATGAACTGACCACTATAAGCTCATACTATTTTCCTTTTCTCAACTGCATTTGCATTGTTCAGATATTAATGAATGTTTGTCTAACCCTTGCCAACACGATGGAGTTTGCATCGAGGGTATTGGCCAATTTACCTGTGATTGTCCATTCGGATTTGATGGAAGGTTATGTGAAAACGGTAAACGTACATTAACTTATATCCACAATACAAAACAGCGCCCCCTTTCCCTATCCTGCTTCACAGCTTCATCCTAGTTATTGCAATCTGATAAAAAAATAAATAAATAAAAATAGTGTATGGATATTAACAGTTATTTAGACGCCTATTGCTTTCAGAGGCAACTCTCCAATGCATTACAGTACACTGTAAAAACATCGTGAATGATTTAAATGCAAAGCATTTTGTCCTGTCCTTGGTGACACGTTTAACATCTAAACGTGTATAGACATAACTAGATGTGCTTAGGACCTTACTTGTTTAAAATTAAATGTGCTGAGGTATTTGTCATCATGATGTCAAATACCTAAACCTAAACACATTAAGCCTGGCCTAAACACGTTTGGCTTTTAATCGTGTCCCCCAAAATGGAACAAAGTTGTTTTTAACTGTGTAGGCCCGTTTTATGTTTTAGTTCAACTTTATGAGCTTCAATGTTATAATTTTGTTGCAATATCAATTCTACTAACGCTACATTTAGGTAAACCCTGGTGTCTCTATTCCCTAACGTACATTTATGGTTTCCGACTTATAGTCATCGGTTGAAATATAAATTAAATCAAGCCGATCAATGTTTGTTGTGATCTTCTTCGAACTGTAATTTGTAAATCTGAAACCATAAGTAGGCCTATAACTTAACTCTGTGTCGAACTGCATAAATCGAGTACTAGACTGGGTGTGTTAGGCTCCAAATCCAATAAAACTTACTGATGCCAAAATCACCATCAGTAATATTTGGGTCTGTTTTAACTTCAAACCATTTCTTTATCTTGCTATGTGATTAAGTTTTTCTATTGTTTAATATTTCTTCACTCTGCGTTTCGCTCTTCCTTTATTATCTTTTGTCATTATTTTTACTATTATTTTTAATTTAGTTTGCAATGTATTGCAATACGTTTTTTTCTGTTGCCACATTTCAATACATTTTAATAATTCTCTAGATGTCGATAATTGTTCCGATCAACCTTGTTTTAATGGAGGCACTTGTCTGAACAGAAGAGGTCTTGATATTGGATTCGAGTGTACATGCGCATCTGGATTTAGTGGACCTACCTGCCAAACAAGTACGACAATCTATTATTGCCTATGTCTGTTATTTCCATATTTTTAGGCCTATTCTAACCTTTATTCAGAATGCATAAAAAACATGCAAAATCACGTAAAAACGAAACAACGATGACTAATAATAGAAAGTAGGCAATGGCTTAGTGCACCCAATACTTAATTCTGATTGGATGTTATTGTATTTATGGAATAGATTAGGACAATGACATCCAAACAATAACCACTGTCTAGAAAATAATAAACTATTATTATAACTGAATTCAAATTATTTAGGCCTATATTTTGTTTCTGTTCTGTATGTATATTTTGTTGGTAACTGAATAAATGAAATGAAAATTAAATATGTGTTTGTTCAGAAGTGTAGCAATATCTTTTTTTCCAGATATAAATGAATGCGCGTCGAATCCGTGCCAAAATGGCGGTAGATGCCACGACTGGATTAACGACTACCAATGCGACTGTGTACAAGGCTATTCAGGAAAGTCTTGTGAAACAGGTAGCCTCTCCTAAAATTATTTCTTTTTGTTATTTCATTACCTGATTTCTCCATTATAGCTATGTTATTAATCAGGTGGAATACTTTCAAATTATGTAGAAGGGTAAACATATAGTTACAGTAGATGAGAAAATGAAATTTATAGTTACCAGAAAATTCTTTTAAATAATATTGTTCTTCAATTACAATAATTTAACTTATACATTTCTGTATATTTTGATTATTTGAAGAGCTTTGATTTCAAGAGAATTTTATATTATTATAAATTTAGTTGTTCTCCCCATAAACGGTTTTATTTTTTGGTCTTTAATTTAATTTAGAAATATAGAATTTATTAATTCGGTGCATTAAATGCATGCGTAGGCCTAACAGCATTGAGTAAAGTCTTTGTTTTTACGTTTAATTTAAAAGGGATATACTCAAAAAACTTTTAGCGTTCAATTTTTATGAGAGATTAGTGAAAGTTATACAAATTATATTATAAAAATGCAATTAATGACACATATTACTGTATATCCCAATGGGGTTACTGTCAGCAACTATCCAGATATTATACAAATAATTAATGTTTACGAGCGCAATGGAAGAATATTTTCCATTCTTGGAAAGATCATGGAGCTATAATAGCTCCATGGAAAGATTGACAGTTCCATTCGACGAGGCGAAGCCGAGTGGAATCATAGAGAGTCGAATGGGACAGTCAATCTTTCAACGAATGAAAATATTATTTCCATTGCACGAATAAAAATCATTCATTATTTGTATTATAACACATCTAAAATACATTCTTTTCATTTGATATTTTATAAAATCTACTTTTTTTTTAATCGAGATTCTTGTTATCTGATATATATATATATATATATATAAAAAACTATCCCTTTTCGAAGTGAAACAGTCCAGGGTCTTTTTAACCAATCAACAGACTGTATTATTATTAGGTTGAAGTCATGTCGTATCCTAGGCGCCGTGCAATGTACGGGGCGCCGTTTGGGACATTGCCATTTATGTCTTTAAATATGCATTTGTTACAGAACTAATTATGTACCACATAATCATTACTGTCAAAATATTATGTGTACATAATTAATTCTGTTGTTACAGAAATAATTATTTACCACAGAATTATTACTATCAAACTATTATGTGTACATAATTAATTCTGTTGTTACAGAAATAATTATGTACCACAGAATTATTACTGTCAAACGTTTCTGTGTACAGAATTAATTCTGTGTTAACAGAAATAATTATGTACTACAGAATTATAACTTTCTAACTATTATGTAGTACAGAATCAATTCTGTACTACGTAATTTTTGTTTCTGTCACCACAGAATGTTCTCACAGAAAATATTCTGTGCAGTACAGAAACAATTTTGTCCGCACAGAATTATTTCTGTGCACTCAATATTCAAATTAGAAGGTGGAGTTTTCATCAAACGTCCAATAGAATCATTATTCTTTAGAGACTAAGGCAATCGCGGGTTTTTGGTGTGCCATACTTGATTGATAGTCGTGTTATGATATAGAACAGTAATCCATTAGTTCCTTTCCTTTCATCATCAAACACAACCTACTTTCATGCGGGAAAAATACTGTATATAACAATCGTACTGTTTACTGTTTACTGTTTACTGTTTACTGTTTACTGTTTACTGTGTACTGTTTACTGTTTATGAATAATAATTGAATGTTATTATTTCAGAATACATTATTATTTAAGACGGAGTTGCTATAGTCATTACAACCATGGAGGTATAATTATTATACCTCCATGTTAAACAACTTCATGATTAAATTAAATTTTAATATTAATTAATAGTATACATTTAGATGGTATACATTTAGAAGGCTCAACATCCAATTTTGTAACTGCAGTTTATTTGATCCAAGAATTAAGTGAAAAATATATAAAAAGTTGAAAAGTTGTCCATGAGATGAAACCAACTATCTGAGATGTGACCTCAACGGTGTTTTGGGAATTATTTTCAACCAAAAGGCCCGGATTGGTCACTTCTTTTCTTATGCATTCCAACCAATATACACAAATCCGGCTGTCAATGAAGATTGTCGATGGAATAAAGTATTACTCCCAAGCCTTTTATTTACCTGGTAGTACGTATACTGACAATTAAAGGAGAATTAATATATACAGTAAATTTTCAAGTATGGTAAAAAATAACAACAACTTAAAGACTAAATTCGAGTAATAAATACCATGACACTACATTATTGTAAGTATTATAAGAGTTTATAATTACGTAGATAATAAACAATGACGTATATCAACAATACGGACTACAATCTATCACAGACCCTATTAATTATTATTAGGTCTCCCTCCAACTAAAGACCATTACGGTATTGGGACCGGGGTTTCCGCGGTCTTTAGCAGCTTTGGTCTCCAATTAAAAAATGTAAAGATAAAAGACATTTGTGAATTTGGCACCACAGAAAAGTGGTCTTTAATTGAAAGTGTTCTCTAATTTGAGGGGTCAAGTCTAATTGGAGGGGTCAAGTAATAAATACCAACTTCACAAATGTCGTTTATATTTATTATTCTATAATTAGAGACCAAAGCTGCTGAAGACCATGGAAACCCCGGTCCCAAATGTGGTCTTTAAGTGGAGGGAGACCTGTATTGTATACGCAGCAGTGTGGTATCTAACAAAATTAATGTTATCATATACAGTATTGATTTTCACATGGAAGTAGACTGTGTTTGTAAATCAAAGGAAAGAAACTAATAATGTAAATAATATAACTACTGTAGGCCTAGTACTAATAATAATACATGCATACTATTAAAAAAAATATAGTAATTAACAGACACTTAAATGAATAGGCCCTACATATGAATATTATCATACGGCATTTGTTTCTACATGGAAGCATAGAGTAGGATGTGTTTGTGAATAAAAGGGGGCGGGGGGAAGAAATAGTGGTTTACTCTATATGAAGCACTATCAATCAAGTATGGCACAGCTGAAAACCCACAAACTGTCTTAGTCTCAAAGGACTTTTGACAGTATTGGACATGGATGATTTTATTGGATGTTTGATGGAAACCCTTCTAATTTGCTTAGTGAGTGAAAAGAAATAATTCTGTGCAGTGCAGAAATAATTCTGTGCGGATAGAATTATTTCTGTAACAACAGACTGCCTAATTTAAAGACATAAATAGCAATGTTCCAAACGGCGCCCAGTAAAATGGACGTCACTTTATGGATTTAATCTTTCGAAAAAAAATCTTCGTTTCATAGGCACCTGCAATGTACAAAGACGGATGGAAGTAAAAATGCACGGTGGAACTAACTTTCTTTTCTTTCGAAATGGGATTAATAACCAATGTCACGTGATACAAAATTCACCAATCAAGTGACAAGGATCACACACAAGGTGTGTTATGACAAATAATTCATATCTTAATGCACAATGCGTTTATTAATTTAAAAACAAATCCAATTACTATTGTAGAAATTGATGAATGTAATTCACATCCGTGCCTAAACCGTGGTTCCTGTATCGACCATGTCAACGGGTTCTCATGTATTTGTAAAGATGGATTTTCTGGGACAGTTTGCCAAACAAGTGAGTACATGTTCTTTATAGGACGCTAGTTTGTAATCTTATCGCTGTAGTGTGTATTTGCATGTCTACATTTCACTTACTGTTCAATACAATCGTAATTTATTCTTTATCTTAATTTATCATAAATAAAATGCATTTAGAAGGAAATGAAATTTAATAAATAATGCCAACGTCAGAAATGGTTGTATCCTCAGTGGTCGATATAATAGAAATAGTTTTCGGCATAGCAAATCAGTTACCGTATTCAATTTCGTCTGTTGCTACGAAAGCCATCGTGGACCAATAACAGGCACAAGTTCACAATATACGAAATTCACATAAAGATGAAAGATTACCACATTGGAAAATACTCCTAATGAGGACCAAATTTGAGATGGGTCAAGAGAAATGGAATATGCGAGTTTCAAAGAGAAAGAAAGTTGAAGAAAAACGAGAACTTGGTTCGACATGCCAAGTTCAGGGATAGTTTCATCCCTTGTGACATTAAGGCACTAAAAATTATAGTATTTAAATAATTTTTTTGTATGTATTGTAGGCGTGCACATTTTGTGTACAGTATGTATTTGCGGCATTACACAGAGCCAACTCAAATTCTATGTATGATTTGTACATTGATAAATAAAATTAGATTGTATATTGAATTGTTATGATTGATATAATTAGTATACTTATTATATTAATAATATCAATGCCCCTTTTGTCCAAGCCAATAGTACGGACACAATATGGTGTACTACAGCTACAAGTACTCAAGAGAACCCCAATTGACATTGTTTTTGATTCAATTTAAGTTATATTTGTAACCAGAATAGAACATCGTTCCTTCGGTTCCACAGTTTTTGCCAGTAAAAACACTTCTGTTAGACCAGGTAGCTTTAAAGCAATAAACACGTTTTGAATGTTTGATAATGTACTTAACATTGTTTTGTATTACCACATGATCACTGTATCAAATAAGAAATCAACACATATATTTTCATTTTTTTGTTTGATAGATTTGAATGAATGTTTGTCTAGTCCATGTTTAAATGGAGGGCATTGCATAGACGGAGACGGGTTTTTCGTTTGTTCATGTGAAGGTGGCTACAACGGGAATCGATGTGAGCTAGGTGAGGGCGCTACAATAGAATTGTAGGTCTACATAAATGCCTGTTGCCCAAAATGATTAGATTGGATTCATTTGGTGTAGGCCTAAATTTTCTAAGAAAACCTAATAAAGTCCCAAGAAGACTTATTACCAGTGGGAGATCGTCTGTCTGGTAGTGATTGGTCAGTACACTGGGAGACAATCCCCTACTCTTTTCCGAAGAGCGTACTGCATTTTTTAACGTGCACATAGGCCACATTACACTCGGGACCAATGGCAAACACATGATCCGAATGACGGTGCGCTATTGGAACTTATTTCTATTATTTTTTATTTTGTTTTCACTTAAACAACTTATAATAATTATTTAATATTTCTTTACTCAAGAAATAAACATGTTTAGTTTCGAAATTAATCCCCTTTATTGATTGAAAAACTTTCGTAAGAATAATTGTGTATTCTCCATTCACAGGTAGCGTACAATTAGTCAATGGTACAAGTCCATATGATGGTAGAGTCGAGATATTTTACAACAATGAATGGGGGACTGTATGCAACACATCGTGGGACTTAAATGAGGCCAGGGTTGTGTGTCGTCAGATAAGCTCACCTGGTGCTATGCGAGCTTTCGGGGTATCTCCGTACGGTGCCGGGAGTGGAACTATTGTCCTTGATGACGTCACTTGCTCCGGCTATGAGGAAAACCTGGGGGATTGTCAGCGTAAGGGAACCGGTGTTAATAACTGCAACCACGAACAGGACGCTGGAGTGCAATGTTTACTTGGCAGTGCGTATCATGTGATATATTTATTTAATGGCTCTTGTACCTAAGCTTGACGTAATCATGATGCCTCACACTATTTGGAGACATCTTTAGCAAAAATTTCGTAAAGTTTATATAACAATTAATGAAACACATTTCGAGAAATTGTCAGTGCAAAGCGCTCATTCGACACAAGCAACGGCCATTCGTTTGGTACGATGTTTGTTTTTACCTATATGTATTACTTATTGATAACTTGTTTATCAAGTGTTTTACCTTCTATTTTTATTCAGTTCGTCTCGTTGGGGGCACAAGCAGTTTAGAAGGAAGAGTTGAGGTTTATCGGAACAATGGTTGGGGCACTGTATGTGATGATGACTGGGATATCACCGACGCTTACGTTGTATGTCGTGAACTGGGATTTGCAGGGGCCCTAGAGGCCGTTAGTGGTGGAAGCCGCTTTGAACGAGGGACTGGGGATATTCTCCTTGACAACGTAGCCTGCTTTGGAAACGAAACTCGACTGGTTAACTGTGGTCACACAGAACATGGTATTCAGCACTGTGATCATAATGAAGACGCTGGAGTGATTTGTATAAATTCTTGTAAGTTAAACTAGCCTACCGTAAAACCACCTCTTCAGTTTTCAAATTGAAAAAAAATGCCCAAATGGGCTTCTTTTCAAGATAGCCTTCTTCTTTTCGATAGCACTGTACGTGAATTTTAAAGAAACAAAATACATTTAAAACACGCTTGGTTTATAGTTCAGGTGATTTATTACTCCATGATACAGTTGATTTTACAGTAGCCTCATTTATTGTTTTATAGTAATAATTCCAAAAATTTACAGCATTCATTTTGAAAAGAAGTCCGGCTCTTTACTTTGCAAAAGTGGCTTCGAAAAAAACCCATCCAAAGTTCGCAAAAAAAGAAGCCAGGGCTTTAATTCGAGGTTTTACGGTACATTATTTATTGATAGTCAGTTTAATAATAATGACAATAGTGATGGTTTTAATAATATTAAATAATAATAATAATAATAGTTAATTTTTAATTAATAATATTCTGAATTGTAAAATGTTCATACTGTCACAACCAAATTAACTAATGCCACAGAACTAATGCCACAGCGCCATCGAACATTGCTTGTTGTGACAACTGATTGATTGATTGATTGGTTGATTAACTGACTGACCGACTATCCGACTGACTATCCAATTGGTCGATCGATCGATCAATCAATCGATTGATTGATTTGTAGGTCATGCACTTGCACGTTCAATACGATCACCAAGCATCCATGTATGATCTAGATAATTAATTAAGCCTGTCACAATCACACCACTAACTAAATCGTCATTGAAAAAATGTCTTCTAAATCACATCTTGTGGGATCTCTCCGGCCTAATTCCATAACGCTTGATACCTATCGTATACAGGCCTATTTCGCATTTCAGTTTTTGGTCATTTTCTCTTCAGCTTTGGTCCGGCTTGTAGATGGTCCTGTTCCTTATGAGGGCAGAGTAGAGGTTAACATCGCCGGAGAGTGGGGAACTGTATGTGACCACATGTGGGATTTGCCAGACGCCCAGGTTGTCTGTCGCCAGCTGGGATACCCAAGTGCTATTGCGGCTCCCTGTGGAGCCGTTTATGGTGAAGGTAGCGGCAGTATAATTATGGATAACGTCAGATGTTCTGGTCAAGAAACACAATTAGTACAGTGCCCTCAGGGTATACCGAATCAGCACCATCATACGTGTGGACATAATGAAGATGCAAGTGTAGTTTGTGTTAATAACAGTAAGTCATAGACCTATCATGGAGAAATTTTCTCCATGGACCTATTGTATAAGAATAATTGATTGCTGTAATTGATCGGTTGGTCGGTGGGTTCACTCACTTGCCCCACCATACATTTATCGGGAATTAACGACAGAAAATGAGCATTATCCATTTTGTGAAGTAGGAGACGACTTCTGTTGAAACTAACTTATTTCTAATCAAATTTCCTTTTGAGGGACGGACATAAACCTATCATACAGAAGAAATAACATACATATAATACAATTTTTGTGTTTGTGCAGTTCGTCTGGTTAATGGAAGTAAAGCAACAGAAGGACGCGTGGAAGTGTTCCTGAACGGACAATGGGGAACCATTTGTGACGATTACTTCGACATTGAAGATGCTCACGTTGTCTGTAGACAGCTAGGCTACTGGGAAGCAACATCTTTCCATGGAAATGCTCGCTTTGGCGAAGGAGGTTGGCCCATTCTCTTGGATAATTTACATTGTAATGGCAATGAGAGGAGAATATCAGATTGCGATCATTCAGGCCTTGGGGTTCATAACTGCTTCCATACCGAAGATATCAGCGTGGCTTGCAAGGTTCGAGGTACATCGGAGTTTTGTGTAGTATTGTTTTAATAATTAAATAATTATATATAATTAACGCATCCAGCAGACCGACTTGATAGCAAAGTCTCATTTTGTTGTGTGACCATGTAAAATCTACTCCATTCTAACTCACTGAATAATTGCAATTTCATACAAACTTACTGAGTCGTTGTGGTTCTCGTAAAAGAAAACCACAGTATAATTCATATTCGTATATTTTGTTAATTGTATTTGATTATAGAAGAATAAGTATTATGGCAACTTATTCGATTGTAAGGTCTTCAAAGATGCAAAAATCATCGTTTTTTTTGTTTGTTTTTTTGTTTGTTTCCTTTATGTTATAGTTCGCCTTGAAGGTGGACCTAGTGGCTCGGAGGGACGTGTTGAGTTGTACGTAGAAGGTGGATGGGGAACAGTATGTGATGACAATTGGGATCGCAATGATGGTGATGTCGTCTGCAGAGAGCTAGGATATCAACGGGTATGAGTATATTAATCATTACACGAGATTCTAACTTTAGTATCAATATGTATTTTTTTTTAAATTAATGTGGTAGCATTTTTGTTTATAGTCTGTACGTGTGACAACGCAAGCATCATTCGGCGTTGGCACTGGCTATATCATCCTGGACGATGTCGATTGCTCAGGTGTGGAAGACTCTCTTATAGATTGTGGACACCGTGGGCTTGGAACTCACAATTGTCAACACTCTGAAGATGCTGGTGTCGTCTGCCTTGCTAATGGTATGCGAAGATTTATGTACTTAAATGTCTTGATTATATTCTACCAGGGAACAGTGTAATTTCACTGTTCCCTGATTCTACCAAGAACACTGCTTGTGTAATTGGTACTTAATTAAAACATAATTTCATATCGAAAAAAAATGGATTATATAAGTAGATTCTATTCATCAACAAACACATGACATACCACCTACAAAACGAATGCGTAGGAAAACTACAACACAAACTCCAAATTAAATAATAACATGAACATTAATATATTAAATATTCTTCTTAAGATGTTGTGCGTCTTGTCGGTGGTTCTGTTGAAAGCGAAGGGCGAGTCGAAATCTTTCACGACGCCCAATGGGGAACAGTTTGCGATGACAGTTGGGATATAACGGATGCAACTGTGGCTTGTCGTCAGTTGGGATATTTACGTGCAATCGAAGCACCAGGAAGTGCCGTGTATGGGCCAGGAGAGCCTGGCTCTCCGATTTTCTTGGATGACGTAGCTTGTTCTGTGTCAGATATTGATCTTTTTGATTGCAGTCACCGAGGATTAGGTGTGCACAATTGCAACCATGGAGAAGACGCCGGTGCTGTTTGCATTGGAAGTTGTAAGGGCAATAATTTTTATTGAGGGAAAATTTATAATACGCCAATTTAAAAAGGCGCAGTTAGCTCTCAGTTATTTATAAATGTAGAATCACAGTATTTATTTATATTAGTAGGCCTTAATTAAACTTGTATTTATTTATATTCTCCAAAATTATTGTGAAGCATTGCTGTAATTTTTTATTTAATGAAATGAACTTACGTTTCAGCTATTATTCGATTAGTTGGAGGCACGCTCGAAAGTGAAGGTCGTGTTGAAATTTTATTGGACGGGCAATGGGGTACGGTTTGCGATGACGGATGGGATCAACTTGAAGCAAATGTCGTCTGCCAGCAGCTTGACTTCCCGGGTGCTATTTCAGCCGTCTCTGGGTCGGAATATGGCCAAGGTATTGGACCGATTCATTTAAATCAGGTGCAATGTACCGGTAACGAGCGAAGGCTAGATCGCTGTGACCATGTCGGTCAGACGTCTTCGTGCGGACACCATAACGACGCAGGAGTTATATGTCACCCAAGAGGTTTGTTATCATCTGGTTGTTTTAATTATTTCTCTCCTGAAAATAATAAAGATTATTATTATTATTATTATTATTATTATTATTATTATTATTATTATTATTATTATTATTATTATTATTATTATTATTATTATTTATTATTATTATTATATTATTATTATTATTACTATTATTATTGTTGTTATTGTTGTTGTTGTTGTTGTTGTTGTTGTTTGTAATTGTAGTTGCTGCTGTTGTTGCTTCTGATGCTGTTCTGTGTCCTGTTGCTTCTGTTGCTGATGCTGTTGTTGCTGCTGCTGTTGTTGCTTCTTCTGCTGCAGCTGCTGTTGTTGCTGCTGCTGTGCTGCTGCTTCGGCTGTTGTTGTTGCTGCTGCTTTTGCTGCCTCTGCTGTTGCTGCTGCTGCTGCTGATGCTGCTGTTGCTTCTAATGTTGTTGCTGCTTCTGCTGCTACTGTTGTTGTTGCTGCTGCTGTTGTTTCTGCAGTTGGTGTTACTGTTGCTGCTGATGCTGTTGCAGGCTGCTGCAGTGGCTGCTGCTGTCCTGTTGTTGCTGGGTCGTTGTTGTTGCTTGGTTGTTGCTGCTGGGATTTTGTTATTGCTGTTGTCGTTTTTAGGTAGGCATATTATGATTATTAAACAATATACCTTTGAATGTTTCATTTATCAATACAGTTCGCTTAGTTGGTGGCTTAAACTCATTTGACGGGCGTGTGGAATACTATTACAACGGTAGATGGGGAACTGTTTGTGATGATAACTGGGATCGCAGTGACGCGACTGTAGCATGTCGTGAGCTTGGCTTTGGATCCGCATTGGAAGCTACTAGGAGTGCAACCTTTGGTTCTGGTACTGGCATTATACAACTCGATGAAGTTCAGTGTCATGGATATGAAACAAACTTGGCTGCGTGCAATCATAACGGATGGGGGCAGCATAACTGCGGACATCACGAGGACGCAGGTGTCCGATGCGGACTTTCAGGTATGCAAAATAAAATACCGGTAGTCTTTCCGGTTATAATCGTATTGTTTATTATTCAAAATAAATTTAATTTACTTATCCCTTAATTAAACTTTGAATAAACAAGACAAGAAAATACGGTTTTTTTCAATTGACTGTTGCTGTTATGCTTCAATTGGTTTTCTATTTTTATTACACAGGAATTATACTCAAAATTTATATATATTATTTATCTCGCTTTTAAATAAGCGAAAAACAATAAATAAACAAACAAACAAACAAAAAGAAGAAAGAAAGACCAAAAAACGGGTACAGAAATTGACGTATTCAATCATCCTGTTATGAGGATTAATTTTTCTAGTTTTAAAAACGTTAAATTAAATGAAGTATGAGATAGATAAAGGTTATAGATAAAGGTTATTTGACAATGTACTTTTTATTATGTAATAATATAATTTTTTTAATTGGACCATTTGTAAAAACTTGCTTTGCATGAAAATGCCATCCATTTTAAATATGTTACAATATACATACACACACACACATATATATATCTGTCTCTTATATACATATTTATAGATTTGCCATTTGTTACAGTGCGCCTTGTTGGTGGTGCCACCGCCTCAGAAGGCCGTGTTGAAGTTTTCTACCAGGGTAAATGGGGGACAATCTGTGACGATGAGTGGGGAATTGAAGACGCAACCGTAGTGTGTGCTTCATTATCGTATGATGGGGTCAGTGTGGCTTATTCAAGAGCTCATTTTGGAGAAGGAAGTGGGCCGATATTGCTTGATAATGTCCGCTGTGTTGGTTCTGAAACAAGTCTGAGTCGTTGTCGATCTAATTCAATTGGAAATCATAACTGCGGACATGGTGAAGATGCCGGTGTTCGGTGTTCCTCGTCTGGTAAGTTTTAAGTACCCAATTGTTTTTGCGTTTACTCAACCGTTGTATAAGTTAAAAAAGGTCCAAATTTAGAGTATAAGTAACTTAATCTGTTGACCCTACTTATGCTTATACATTGTAATTTTTGATTAAACCTAATTGAGAAGTCATGGTGTAGTGATGAAAGCTTGTGCAATAACATAATGACATTAGTAGGCTAAGTTTGATTAGTGGAGATTCAGTCTGTCCTAGACTAAATAGATAGTACGCTTTCCTATGAAACTAATAACACTATCTTGATCTAGATCTTGATCAATGGGTTACTCCTTCTCAACTTTCTCATATGAGAAGCAAAGCGAGCGGTGAGGGTATGTTGTATAAGGTACAACTGTCAAAAGTCCTTAGAGACTAAGAAAGTTCGTGGGTTTTCAGGTAAATGATACTTAGTAAAACTATAATAGATTGTTGTTTTAAGTAATTTGTGAATGGTTCATTTTCTTTTAGAATCCATACGTTTAGTCGGTGGAAGTGGCAACCATGAGGGAAGAGTTGAGGTATATATGGATGGCCAATGGGGGACAGTCTGTGATGATAGCTGGGATTTAAATGATGCGAACGTTGTGTGCAGACAGTTAGGGTATATTGGGGCCCTATCTGCACCTATGTCGGCAACATTCGGGCAAGGCAGTGGACCTATACTCTTAGATGACGTGAGTTGTAGTGGGTCCGAGACGAGTCTGCTCGAATGTAATCACAATGGACAAGGAAACCACAACTGCAGACATTCAGAGGACGCAGGAGCTATCTGCTCTATTAATGGTGAGTTCATTTATTTTTTTCTTACAATATGTTTATTATTTTTAGATTTTATATTAAATTTATTTAGATATTGAATTTGAATATTATTATTACTATCATTATTATTATTATTGTTATTATTAATATTATTAATATTATTATTATTATTATTATTATTAAATTTTCGTTACATTTCCAAATCAATAGTCTTTTTTTCCCACTATAATCCTTGATCAATGTTAAGTAGATCTACTCTTTTATTCAATAATGCTTATATTAGTGATTTGAAATTCTCACTGTCTAACCCTTTTCTTCCATACCGGTTTGCCCTAAGTCAACTAAGTCTACCCACTCTGTGGTGGGCTAGACGTTTTAAAGGTTCTTGGCGAATGTAATTTTGGAGTATGACTCTTCTGTGTAATTATACTTTTGTATACGTTTTTGTTTTTGTTTGTATTAATTTGCCTTTAAAGCCTTTCCATAAAAACGCTACATGCTATCGCCCACACCTTTGGGGACGCTGATTGGTCAGTTGAATCATATGAGGGAGCATTCCCGATTGCGTCGGGGACAGCTACTCAGTGCAAGGATGGCAGTGAAAACGCTGTAGCGACTGTGCAGCGATTCTATGGAAACTGGCAGACTTCACCCAATTGTGTTTAGTTGTTGTATAGGTGGCCTATTATAATGTTTGAATATGCATATATTCGATCTTTAAATACAGATCTTAAATATTAACATAATTGAAATATTCAATAATTTTGTATAATTATATGCAATTGATATAGGGCCCGTGCGACTACGAGGTGGCCTAACACCAAATCAGGGCCGTGTCGAGGTATTCCACAGTGGCGTGTGGGGTACTGTTTGTGACGACAGTTGGGGCATAACAGACGGAACTGTTGTCTGCAAGCAGCTTGGTTATCCTGGAGCGCGTCGAATAAGGACAAATGCATTTTTTGGCCAAGGAACTGGACCTATATATTTGGACGATGTTCGGTGTACTGGACAAGAAACTTCGATTACACTGTGTCAACATCCAGGTATAGGAATCCACAATTGTTACCACACAGAAGACGCCGGCGTGGAATGCATCGAATTAGGTACAGTCAAAAAGTCATGCCTAAGCCTTATTATTATTAATTTGTTAGCATTCAGAAGAAATACTTTATATATTTGTTTTGGTGTAAGTTCTTATACAACTGTAATGGTAATTCCGATATCCTTATAAGGCATATACTATAATATGGGCTGAAAACTACAAGTGCAAAAATAGGGAAGAATAAAAACAAAAGCAAAAGTAAACGAATACATCTTTTAAATTAAAATAATGAGAAAATGGAATTTGAGCCTAGACTTAAAACATGGAACCGGGATGGTGAATCACGCACAGTCTTAGGAAGTTAGTTCCAAAGCTTAGGAGCAGCTACAGAGAACGAACGATCTTCACAATTTTGTTTAAGACCATCCGTCGGAGAGTTAAGAGATGAAGTAAAACAAATCTAAAGAGTACGTAAAATTGGCGTCATAGCTCACTTGATAGAGCAACCAAACGGTAATATTGTGTTCAAACCCCTATGGCTGACTCCTAACGCTATTTGCAAGTTTGATAATATGGAATTTCTGCAGTGTAAATGTTTCTGCTTTTAAGATTAATGATCTGTTTCCTTTTAAATATTTGTATATCATTACTGACTTCCAAGCTCCAACCATAAGATTCTCCAGCTCAGTCAGTTGTATGAGAGAAAGTGACTTTGGGTTAGATTTGCGCAAATAGTCTAAAGGCCTGTTCGTACTTGCAACGATAACGATAACGATAAAAATCTAAAAAGCAATTGTTCATATAGAAAATAAAAGAGGTTTTCACACTAGCACGATTCGACAACGATTTATCGTGCATACAATAAAGAAATATTTTGACAAATCAAATCAAATAACGACATAATCATGAGAAAGCGATAAAATCGTAGTAGTAAAACGATTTTATCGTTTCCCCATGATTATGACGTCATTTAATTTGATTTTTGAAAATATTTTGTTATCGTATACACGATAGGCCTAAATCGTTATCGAAACTTCTCTTATTTCTTTTATTTTCTATATGAACGTTTGCTTTTTTTTTGTTATCGTTATTGTTGCAAGTATAAACAGGCCTTAAGCTAGATTTACACAGACACGAAAACTACATAATAATCGCGTAGTTTGTATTCTGCAACACTACTCGCGTCTGTATCGTTTCGTTGTCGTGTCGTAATCGTGTCTAGTGTAAATGTGGCTTTAAAGGTATGACTTGCTTGATACGTTTCATTCAAAAAGAGCACCTTTGAATTTTCCAAATTCACACAATTTCCATAAGTGTCCTATCAATGTCCACTCTTGTTTTCATAAGGGCCCCATTTGAATAAGCGCAAAAACAAGGTGCAAAAAAAATATTTTAAGCACCCGGATGCTTATTCGTGTGAGTACGGTGTATTTATCTGTCTCTTATACACATCTAGATGTGTATAAGAGACAGCATATATATATATAATTATAATTATTATCTTATTATTATCTTATTATTATCATATTAATAGTTAGACTGGTTGGCGGAAGTGTTGCCGGTCGAGGCCGAGTTGAGGTGTTCGTTGATGGTGAATGGGGCACCGTGTGTGACGATTCGTGGGACTTAAATGATGCCCAGGTCGTGTGTCGAGAACTAGGCTACGCGTCAGCTTCCGAGGCAACTACGTCAGCAAGTTTTGGAGCTGGATCTGGAAACATTAACCTTGATGATGTTCGATGCATTGGTGATGAGCCAAGCGTGCTCGAGTGTAATCACGCTGGAACACGCGTCCATAATTGTAACCACAATGAAGATGCTGGTGTAGTTTGTACGAACTCTGTTGGTAAGGATAAACTTTATCGTTATTGTTATTATTCATTTTCCTGTTAATATTATTATTAACTCATATCGAAATAATATTATTACTGTAATTTCATGAATGTCCTTTTACAGTAACAGTTAATGTGTTTTAATATAGCTGTTCGCTTGGTTGGTGGAAGTACAAGCAGAGAAGGTCGAGTTGAAGTTCAGATAAATGGCATATGGGGGACAGTGTGTGACGATGCATGGGGAATATCGGATGCTAATGTAATATGTCGACAACTTGCGCTTGGAACAGCAGTCTCTGCACCAACAAATGCTCACTTTGGACAGGGCACTGGTCAGGTATGAATTCAATAACATTCCTTCTTTGCTTTATTTCCATAAAACCTCTCTACGCTTTCGCCGACTCTTTTCAGCGTCGTTAATTGGTTGGTCGAATCAGTGAGATCAGTGTATCGGTGACAACATTGCAGCGATTGCAGTAAAAACGTTTTCATGACAAGTCGGACGGTGGTAGTTATGCCCCTTTTAACACATCCACTATTTTTTGCTACGATTGAGTACGATTTTAAAAGTTGTAAAATCTTTCTCTATCGTAGTGATTCGTGCTCAAAAACTTCAAGTTCAATCCAATTGTATGTTTTGTTATGTCAAGACGCAATTAGGACGCGCCGTCAAGGTGTATTGTTACGAATTATAACGATAGAATTCCGACAACGTTAAAAATTGTAACAACGTAATACGAATTAAGATTTTATTACGACGTCACCAAAGGCGCAAGCACGACGTCAATACGATTTAAGATGACGCTGACAAAAAGTCGCAATTTACGAATATTTGAATGTTGTCGTTGTCGCCATAGTTCAAAAACCTGCAATATACCAGTTATACCATACTTATTTTATAAATCCATGGTTATACTTTGTAGTGTACAGAATAGCTGCACTTATATTATTACCGAGGCTGCGTCCGATATTTCTGCTGTAGATACATTCATACATATAAGATTAAGGCTTTTTGTTTATGGTGATTTTAATTGTTAAAGTCAGAACAGTTTTTTGACTGCAGTGAAAGATTGAGCAATGCGATCCCCAATCCACACAGTCGAAGTGAAATACAATCACTGTCTCTATAGTTTTTTCGCTGGGTGCCCATAGTTTCACCTCGAGAGCACATGTGTTATGCCACTGCCTAAAAGCTAATGTATTGAATAAATATTTTCTCAGATTCATCTTGATGATGTTCATTGCAATGGGAACGAGGACTCAATCATTGATTGTCCACACGGCGGCGTCGGCGTACATAATTGCCAACATAGCGAAGACGCCAGTGTGGTATGTTCACAGAATGTTAATGGTGAGGCTTACTTTTTTTTAAATATTGATAATTTAAAAAAAACTGCATTTAACGATAGGCCTATTTTTATGGTGAATGGCTGTAATTATTATTTAATGATCACTAGATTATGATTTATAATAATAACCATGATTGATGGTGGTGATGATGTTGATGATGTTGATATGATGATTATGATGATGATGATGTTAACGACGATGACGATGATGCTGATGCCGATAATGATGATGATGCTGATGATGATAGTGCGCATTAGCTCAGTAGCTATAGGCATATGTGCTAAACCATGGAAATCTTTACATAACCTTGGTACTAATTCATTCGCACCCCTGCTCTCCTGTGTTTCAGTTTGAGGGTTTGAAATACAAGTTTCAATAGCGCACCGTTTCTCTGGCGGTTGTTTAAAGCCGGAAACTGACTGCGTGGTACGACGATGGTATGACCGTTGCACAACAAATCCAACTCCTCTCCCTATGAGCGCCAAACGATGTGATACCGTCTGCTGATTGTCGGTGGCCGTCTGAACGGATCGTCATTAAAAACGATCCGTTGCGCTCGCGTCGTCGCGTTGCGTCCTACATAGAATCGAGTCGGCCGAGGACCGTCGGGCGCAGTGAGTGGACGGATGCCGGCTGCAAGTCGTTGATACGCGTGATATGGTTCATTTGTACGTTAAAAATACCAATACACATTTTGGAGAGAGTAGAGATTGTATAATAATCCCATGTGTACTGCCCAATTCACCTCTAGAATGACCACATTTGAGTCATTCTTGATGTGTTTGACACTAACAAAATTCAATTCTGGCTAAACTGGTGATAGCCACTGTGTGTGTGCGCTGAACCGTGGAGATCTCTAGGCCCCGGTGCAATTTCCATTGCTACTCTTCTTGTGTTTCAGCTAGATGGCTGAAATGCAAGTTACGATTACACCGTCTTTCGGATGAGACTTTTTTTTGCCCCGTGTGCATTATGGTTCATTTTTCGGAAAAGAGTAGGGGATTGTCTCCCGGTGTACTGCCCAATTCACCACCAGAAGGACCCCACTGGAAACAAGTCTTCGGACTTAGTGGGTTATCTTTTGGTGTGATTCACACCAAAAAGACTCCTAACCTATCCTCCAATCCATGTGATTTACTGTATAAGTGCAAATTGCAGCAGGCGAACATCATCTTTAATGCTTCAACCTGTTCATCCATATTTTCACAGTGAGGCTTAGCGGTTCCATTCTTCCTGGATGGGGTCGTGTTGAGATAATGCGACATGGTGTTTGGGGCACAATATGTGACGACAGATGGGATATTAACGACGCTCGAGTTATCTGCAGAATGCTCGGTTTTACGGATGCCGTTGGGTGTTTAAGCTTTGGACCTGGCATAGGACCAATCTGGCTTGATGAAGTCAATTGTTCCGGGGATGAGAACAACATCGCTGACTGCTCTCATATTGGCTGGGGAAACCACAACTGCAATCACTCAGAAGATGCTGGAGTTACGTGTTCCTGGATCTAAGACGTGCATTATGAATTCCACTAACGTGATATGTTCAGATATTTTGTAGGTTATTATATTCTGTAGGCTAAAGGCGATTTTATTTCGCCCAACTATTGAAAATACTATTTTTAATCAGTACGGAGTGTTAAGGTGCTACACAATCAAACAGGAGGATAATAAAAGTACAATAATCTATAGATTTTAATTTCCAAACATTCTGTATAGGTCTACATCACGTGCTTATGAAATAAGTATCAAGGATTGAGGCCTAAAAATCATGCTTTAAACGATAGGTCTACAATATTCCTTTTAAATATTTTTTTAAATACGGTAAATTGCGTCAGTTGTAAATTATACATCATTTTGTTAATTTACTGTACTACAGGTTCCCCTCCCCCCCCCCTCCCCGCCCGGCCTGCTTCGCTTCTTATTTTGAAATATTAAAATGTTTTATATGTACATTCTATACATTGTAGATTCTTTAAACGCCTCAGAGGTTTTTTTTCGGGCGTCTAGAAAACACAAATTTCGCGGGGGCATTCCCCCGGACCCCCTAGGGTGGTGCTATCTCGATCGGCCTCCTTTCTTCCCCCTTTCGGACATCTTTCGATCCGCCCCGATAATCCAAAAAATTGTCAATGTCAAAAGGCAAATATTATTGACAATTAGAGTAACCGTGCATTATGTTTACTTTGTAGGTAGATATACATAATGCGTGTAGGCCTGTAATATTTGAGCTATAGGCTTATACAAAGTTTTGTACTAAAATTTTGAATATAGTATGGGAAATAAATTAGTTTGTTAGAGAATGATATTACAGTATTTGCCAAGGGAACCGATAAATACAGGTCATTAATGCTGTAAATACGTTGGCTTATATTTTTTCATTGATTGAGAATGTCTGTCATATGTATTTGTGAGTTGGGCTATTTAATACCATATTTGACTTGGTTACTTGCTTTAGTAATGTCAATGCCGTGATTGAAATAAATATGTATGTGTGTATCAAATGATGCGAAATCAGTTCATTCTGTGCTCTCATTTCAACCATTATACACCTAGTGGTTAAGTATATGTTGTCAGCCTGACCATGGTGACGTCATCCAGTTGATAGCATCAACAAAGAATCAACAACTTCTTATTGCCAAGGTTACTTTTGATTTCTGAAGTTTTACACAAGAATTAATCATAATGTATCATCATCAATGTCCATTTACATCTGACAGATTTATTTATTTATAAATGGACCTTTCTAATGTGTCAATCATAACAAGCGCTCAATCAGAGGACGTGCAAGTAAATAGGCGGGCGCATGCTTCGCATACACACATTTACGATATTACATATTAAGCTGGGCTCTCACTGTGTCGTACGCGACGGTCGTACGACGAATCAACCCCATGTGAGCGCTAAACGACGTGATACCGGTCAGTACGGTTGGTCAGGTTTCACACTGACTACTTTAAGACAGACCACATATTAATTGATTAGGTTTTGAATTGGAAAGAGGGCTAAATTCCACCTGTATGTTTAGACTCAATCAAGTTCCTCTTGACAAAACCCAGGAACCACATGCCTGTGAACTAGTTTATATTATTTCCTTTTCTTTAGTATATGGTATAAATGATAGATTAAAAACTAGGATGCTTTTTTCACCAGGCCGCGGCCCAACCATGCCAGGGACCAACAAACCAATAAGAGGTTTTGATCATGATGATGTCAATGTTCTGATGATATACAATAATTTAACATCATTATCCGTTCTGTCAGTGACAAAATTTCAACGTGCATTATACAAATTAAATAGTATAGTTTATTAAAGAAAAAGTACCGTACACCTGTATTTTTCCCCCACAATTGTTGATTGTTTTCTTTTCCTACCAGCTTTCTCCTTACAAAAACATTCATGCACACTCATTCACTCCGCAACTTTGAAACGCGACATGGTGGTCCATCCACTACCGTCGCTTCTTCCATCACACCTTTCATACGTTACATTTCTCCTTCACGAATGATAATTGTTGTCAAGCAGGGGCGGTTTTCTTTTTTTTTGTTTTTTTTTTTGGAAAGTGTAACAAAAAAAGACAGAAAGAGAGAAAGAGAAAAAAAATGATAGCCCAAAACGCCTCAGAGGTTTTTTCGGGAGTCTAGAAAATACAAATTTCGCGGGGGCATTCCCCCGGACCCACTAGGGTGGTGCTATCTCGATCGGCCTCCTTTCTTCACCCTTTCGGACATCTCTCGATCCGCCCCGATAATCCAAAAAATTGTCAATGTCAAAAGGCAAAATACTAAAATGACAACAATGTTGTGAGTAACAATCTTTCTCTTGAATAAACCTGTTTTGAATTTAAAGTGTTCGTATTACATTGTTTTGCTTCACCATTACGGGGCGCCGTTTGGGACATTGCTATTTATGTCTTTAAATGGGCATTCTGTTGTTACAGAAATAGTTAGGTACCACAGAATTATTACTGTCAAAATATTATGTGTACATGTTACAGAAATAATTATGTACCACAGAATTATTACTGTCAAACTATTATGTGTACATAATTAATTCTTTTGTTACAGAAATAATTATATACCACAGAATTATTACTGTTAAATAAAATATATTTTTATAAAATTATGCCCACTCACTAAAATCCTTATATCCACAGATATATGCGTGTAATTTCATTATTTCATAATTTCACAATGACACTAATATGGTGATATAAAAAGACAGCAGTTTGAATCAGATTCTTTTTGCTAAGAATTCGATTTAGTTTATATTATAGTAGTTGGAAAACATGATTAAAGATGATTAATAATTTAACATTTCACTATCCAATTATCGTTTTTATCTCCTTAGAGCATTTCAACTGTACCTTTTAATAGTTTACATATTTCGATAAAAACGAAATACTTTAAACTGTCCGTAATTTTGATTTAAGATGGATTACAGATAGTAAGATTAGTTCTGTTATTTTTGTAGAAGAAGAATACATGATGATAACGGTTACGATGATAGTGACAATGGTTAAGATTACAATGATCATGATAATAATGATAATAATGATTGTATGGCGCTGATTATGATTATCATTAATGATGTTGAGGATTATGGCGACAGAAAAAGCTACCAAAAATCATCTATGATTCATTTTCTAATTTACACCTGGGGTGGTGGATAACGGTCAGTCATCTTAGCAATAACGATTGACATAATTATACATAAAACGTTCCCGTTCCACACTACAGTATTTGAGGTTACAGAGCCCTTCGGGTAGCCGTGGTTGCAGTAGTCTTCTCTACAACAACTTGAACAGACCCCAGTCTCTGTAATGCTTGCACAGGAATCCTCCTCGACGCAATCTTCGTCATGTGTACAGCCTCGGTCCATGTCTACTTCCAAACCCGCTGCCTTGTGAATTTTTGTCTGTGTAATCGAAATCGAATTTTCGGCAGAAAAAAAAATAAAATCAATGTTTTAGTTTTGCTTTGACGCATGTAATGTTGACACATTATGTTCAATTGACGTCAGTAGGAGATGTATTAATTTTTTTAATATAATCAAAATGTATATGAATAATTATTCGTATTTGCTCTTATTGACGTTTCCACGGTGGTGGAATTTTCATGTTGACACTAACTCGAGTTTGAAATGAAACAAATTCGGTAAAGGAGGAGTAATCGCTGGTATTGATATCCATGTAAATTATCACAGTATAATTAATTGCCTGGGGGGTTTTTTTCGGTTTTTTTGTTTACACACATAAAAGTTGAATTACGTGTGGACGACTGAAAAATTACAATCCCATCCTCAAAAGTATCAAATGTAAGTCAGAAAGTGCCATGTCCGACTGTGTTATAAGCATAACGGTGGGCTTGATGTGGTCTATAGATCTGTGAATGTCCTTCCTTGGCCCCTCTATTTCGAATGCCTTGATCCTACTCAAGTAAGCATCAGTTAATATGCGTCGTGCATTATATTGGTCTTTTCATGAGAATACGCAAACGCTATTAATATAGGCATCCTTCCAATTACGGCAATGTGTGCATATACTAATTATAAACAGTATAACATATAAGAATAACACATTATACTTAACATAAAAATAGCACATTATACCTTAACATATAAGAATAACACATTATACCTACGTAGCAGAACGTTGTGCACTCCACCACTTCACTTGCATTTGATGGTAACAGTTTACAATCGGAATTTTGTTTCAAAATTTCATTACACTTGAGGCACTTAAACCCGGTTCCACTCTGTAGACAGATAGCTAATTAAGGAGCAATAATAATTTAAAGCTTTAACTAACATGTATGAAAAATGTGGTGTTTAATTACTTCAATTCGAAACAAATTTACGTGTAAATTTAGGAAAATATACATTTAAGGTTGATTGATAACAGTCATTAAAAATGCCATATGATATTGTTAATCATCAATTTCTTATATTTGGAAGTGTTAATATGCCCACCGGAAGGCCATTTGTACATACGACTATATAATAATTGATTGACTATAAATAAATAATTTATATAGAACCAATATTACTGGTAAATACGAATAATTTGAACCACTATTTAAAACAAAATTAAAATGTCATCATATGTATAATATATATTTATTTATATTTATTTTTTAATGTGCTTTATATTCTTTCTTAAGTTCGTGATTCTCTGACTCTTATCCATTGAGTGCATTTGACCAGGTCTAATTTTACAACGCATCCGGCATTCCATCTCGGCAAATTGCACTCCATTATAATTACAAGGTATTAAAAAAAAACATCTTTACTCACACGCGTTATAGCATCGGGTATAGAGCATTGAATGTGAAAAATATTTAGCTCTGCTGCTATTGGGAAATATATGTATTACTTACCGAGAAAAATAAATGCATATTCCATCATGGAGGTCTTCATAATTGGTTTGTGTTTCTGCATAGGAAATAATAATGGAGTTATTCAAAAACTTGAAAAAATAGAAAAACCTTTTAAAAAAAGACATTCTCTAGCATGCAGAGGTTTTTCAATAGACCGAATTGGTCACCAAAGATCATACGTCATCACGATTTCGCCGGTATAAAACACAAAGCCCAATGAGCTTTGCTATTTGCATTGAGCGGAGTAGAAAGTGGTGTGTATTAGATCATGATTAGATCGTCTAAAATGTAATGAAGTTAGCATAGTTCGAAGATACTTCTTTATAACAACATCATTTTGAATGATTCATATTCATGCGACTAAGGTTGATTTGAGAGGTCTTCTAGGATGCCTAGGCTTGTCACTTGAGGGACTCGCCACATTCAGCGCTGACTAAGGGATCGTTTTTCTTGATTTAGAGGTAGGCCTACACATTCAGCTTAAAATACTGTCACCAAGTCATTTTGTTGCAATTTCTGTATGAAATATTTAAACTATTGGACAAACTTTTTTAATTGCTGAATTGTAGAATAAGATGTTTCTTTTGAATACGATGACCAATGAGTCAGAAGAACGTTGTTTGTATGACTCTATATTCTAGATCCTAGCCTGTGTTCACGCGACGAGGCTATGCAAACATGCTCAGTCACGTTTTCCATCTGTTTATTTCACTCCATTTCAAATTTAAGCATGAAGAGTCATTGTCATTTCCGGCCATAGAAGTGCCAGACCTGCCTCAGTCCTAACCATTATGTGGCTCAGGTGGTCTGGACCCTTCAAGTAAAATTGACTTTCTTTGCCTCCTCTATTTCGCAACTGGCATTCATTATTGATTCTTAAAGCCCCATTCCCGGCAAAATTTCACTAAAAATTGACTTTTTTTAGAAAATATGCATTTGCATTACTCCAATTATTATAAATCATGGAAAAATATTGGCATGAATTTTAGTTTTACGCAAAAGAATAAAAAAAATGAGAAATACAGACTATTTCTCATAAAATATTACCATTTTCTCGACGAATTCATCGTTACTAGGCAAATTCAGAGGTTGTAGATCGCATCCACTGGAATACTCTCGCTTTTATGTATACTTTATACAGTCAATAAAGTGCGCCCTCTCTAGTGAGATTAGTTTTTGCACTTCGCATCTCGCACAATGCGTTCGTTCGGTTAGGTTGAGATATGTTTGTTTAAGTGTCAAAATCTCAGTCAGAATCAGTTTTTTAACAAATTTGAAAAAATTCCTATGCACATCAATAAATTAAATTATATTAAAAAAATAAGCAAAACTATATTCGCTGCTTACCTTTATTTACCGATTTCAGAGAAAAACATCTGATTCAAAAGTAAGTAAATACATGATCGAGTGGGACTACCACTGACGTCCTTGCATTCAATTGCCAATTCAAGCCTCGATATACTACCTGAGCCTAATCACTGAGTGCGTAGAAAGCCTGTGTTCTGTACACAAGCGAGTATCCCTCGAAATTAGGAGAAACCCGTCTGAAGCAAGCAAAGCGCCCGTAATATGGCTATCCTTTCTAATATATGTTTCATAATCATCGGCGAAAATTCTGTCGCATTTCGAAAGTTGATCTTTTAAATGAAAGAGCGGTTGAGTGACATCGTTCGAAGATGATGTATTGATTTTCGACACCATTGATAGAAGCAAATTACGCGTTCATGTATGGCGTATAATTTAAAATATTTAGGTATAAATACTAGATTTAAATAATCATCTCGATTTCTGACTCAAATTAACGTTGATATTCACTCTCTGTGAAAATACAGTGTATATGCCTCTAATTATAAGGAGCGATGTTCGAAACTGGTGTGTTTTGTGAAATAATTCAATTGTATTTTTTTTTTTTTGGCGTTTTACGGTAGAGTACATCAGTGGTGGCACCAGAGTAGGGGAATAATGAGACTAATTAAAAATGATTTACGTTCTACTATGACAATGTTCCTTTGGATATTCTAATGATGCTTGTATATCTCCTGGACGGGCGGCTTACCCTAACATGTTCCATATTATAATAGGCTATAACAGTAAGCCTATGTTATCTTCATATGAAAATAATTATAGTACAGTACTTGGCCTATTCATATTATATAATTATTATAGTATTATCAATAATAAAAAATACATAATTTAAACTTTTTCCGAATGTGCGTATGAAGATGCCCAAAAGCAAAAATAACTATATAGTACAAGCGCTTCATTATTGTCATTGTATTTATCACATATTCCGAGAATGCACATGCACATGCACAGTAGGGGAATAATGAGACTAATTAAAAATGATTTACGTTCTACTATGACAATGTTCCTTTGGAATACATCACGTGATCGAGGAAGCAACCTCTTCGTTGACAGACTTCACGCAAAATTTCCAAAATGTAAAATTTTATTTTGAATTACCGTATAAGATTGTACTGTGACGTTCCCGGTAACGTTGTGTTTTCTTAATTTATCGTTGTAAAATATCACAAATTGGTGGCCTTACAATTTTCAGTAAGGCATAATTCTTATTCGTAAATTTGTTGTTAATAATTCACAATCACATGGATTATGGAAAACCTGGATTTCACCATGATGAGGATAGTATTGTATTGTAATACGGTGTGTTTTTTAATAATAAAATGGAAAACGGATTTGAAAAACTTAGATGGTTACATTACACACACTCGTTAAATTAAAATAAGGTACATCCACAGAATTAGAATGATATTTACAAGAGAAAAAATGATTTTTAAAAATGAAATAGAATGTTATAAATAAGGAATGAATAATGTTTTACTGTTCTTTTTCCTTTTGCTTTGAATGTCTTTGTCATGTTTTTTGAAGAGGAATAAAAACAAAACAAAAACAAAACAAAAAACAAACGAAAAACAAAAAAACAAAACAAATTCACAAAAATTCGTCACATATCCGTGGCTTCCAAGGGATTCGCCCCTGGACCCCCACCGGGGCCTATAGGCTGTCCCTGGTCCCAAAGCCAAGTAAGTATATAGGCCTATATATAATATCTATGTATAGGCATACACAGTACGTTTCTTTATACTTTATACTGACTTACGGTATCTCACTTATAAAAAAAAATTGGGCATCCTGTCTTGTCGATTTAAAACGTTTAAGATAAGGGCGTATAATATTGATATTTGAAGACCCAAATATTACGTTACCCGCATATACTAAAAAGAGAGTGATATTATGTTGTCTCTAATCGGATTCGAATTCCCAACAAAAGCACCAGTGGCCCAGACTTTTTGTCTAATCTAATATAAATATAAATAATAACGTAGGACCTACAATTTCTTTTTTTGTGTAAAAAATGATAATCCAATTCAGCTTTAATGAAGCGTAGGGATAACTTCTCATACTTCCTAAGCAAACAAATTGGCAGGTCTTCCGAACTAAAATCCTTAATGATGGAACCAAACGGACGAAAATTGATGAAAAATACAACACATTTTAAGAAAAGAACTAAGGATTTAATTGTAAACATGTTTTATTTATTTTTTATTTTAAAGAAATCCAAATTCACTTTCTACCTCTGATTATCGAATATCAACAATTGATATTGGTAATGAAATTAACGCAGGCTGCCGCCGCGATTGAACGCCTTGTTTCTCCTTGGATATGGAACGTTCCATTCGGGAATGTTTGAAAGAATCTGAAAATACCTAGAACTCCCTGTTGGGAAGGTGACCTATAATTCAGTGTGAAACGCATTATCTATTTTTGGCCAACTTCCATGTTGAGAAATTATTAATTTATACATACATATATGTCTGCATAGACAGCAGAAAGTCCCATGTTCGTAGCACCGTAAACACAATATAAACAAATGGATAAATAATAACAGTTCTCGAATAGGAACAAGATATTATAATCATATCCCTTCAACCGAAATTTAGTTGTATGCAAAAGTGTTTCTGATGGGATTCGAACCTGCAACCACTCGCTATTAAGGCGAGTATCATACCTACATTAGACCATGGACACCTATATTTGGTAAACATACAGATCCAACCCCAGGCAATTTTTTTTTTCATTTTTTTTTAACTGACCTCTTGGAGACTCTTAAGGCCAACTCAGACAGCGTCGTACGACGCAGCCCGACGCGATTTGTTGTCGTGTCGGGCCAGTGTGAGTTGAACGCAGACGCGATGGTGTGCGTCGGTGGCAGTCGCGTCGTAGAATATTAAACATGTTTAATATTTCTCACGACGGCTTAAGACTGTCCCCGACGATAAATCGGGTCGGGCTGCGTCGACTGACGCTGTCTGAGTTGGCCTTTAGACGGACTCTTACATTGTACAAATGTAATTTCACGTATTTAGCCTTCCCTTGGCAAGACTGTTAAACCGTTCACTAACGACCTCGGGTTATTATTAGGTTGTGCGGCGTAGTCAAATATTAACTACATTTGATACTGGAAATTATTCAGACATTTCTTTAGTTAAAATGTACAATATAGCCCCGTAACCAGTGGTGGCGCCAACGGTGGAACCCCACCCCATCCGACAGGCCTGGGGTAATTTCACGTTATATATATATATGTGTGTGTATGTATGTGGGGGTGTTGGTGTATATGCATATACGTATGTACTCTGTGTATGTTCAATTCAATTCAATTCAAAGTAACATTTATTTAATTCCTTTTCAATTCGTACGAAAATATAAAACAAGATCATAAAAAATTCATGAGACAGTGTAGGCCTACCGTACACATATCCTGTTAAAGAACTGAGTCTGCAGACAGGTCGGTTTTCTCTTTAAAAAGTGTCTCTTACGTCTATACATGGTATTTCTATTCTCTATATTCTTAAAAGCAGGAGACGCACAAGCTATATGCTATTTTCATGCAATTATATTTGTATGTATGAAGTTATCGCCTTTTCCACCTAGTTTATTAAATATTTATGAGACGCGCGTGCGTTTCTATTTCTATCAATTTCCATATCCCTTGGTAGAATAGTGATTGTATTGTATCGAAGCTGACAGTTTTACTAACTTAGGTTAACATGAAGTAAATATTTTAAGCATAGTTGTGCGTGTATGAAAGTTTACAGTGTACGCGTTTTAGTATGTACTTGTACGATTTAGTAAGACGACATATGGTGATAGATGAATCCCTGATGCATGGCAGATGTAACCCATATGTACAATAATAATTCTGATAATAGATACAACCCATACATTCCCTGATGACAAATGTAGCCACCGATTGGGCCTATGGACGCTACCACCAATATGAATAAAGCCCTTGATGATAGATGTAACCCCAAGGCTATACCTAAAAATATAGGTGCAACCCCTGACGATAGATGTAACTTCAAGGCTAACCACTAAATATAGGCGCCAACCCTGGCGGCGATAGATGTAACCCAAAAGCTACCCCTACAGGTGCCGCCCATGACAATATTTTTTTTAATTTAAAACATCTTTAGGCAGGATAACATATACAGGCGAGATCTTACCGCTGTTTTACAATATGGTCCTGCAAACACATATTACAATAACAACAACAAAAGGACCATCACAGTACAACAAAATAAACAGCAGTTAAAACTTTGGTGGAAAACTATCCCCCGCCGGACACCAACCCGGTACTTCTGAGTCAAGGTTTCGGGGCCTGGAATTACAGCTCAAGGTTATGCTTAACTA